CGGTACCCTACGAGTCTTGCTGGGATGTTGACGTGTCTGCCATGTTTTCTCTACTGCCGATGCAAATGCCATATTGAATTGTCTGATATTAGCTGTTTCTTTTGATGCTTTGGTATGAAGCGGGAACTCATCGGCTTCTTATTCTGTTCGATCGGGATATCAATGGCTTTCTCGACAACACAGTACTTTTACGCCAGTTTCACCCATGTGGCACTCTCTCTCGTTTTTGCACCCTACCACGTGCCGACTATTCAGATGAAGGCCTACCTGATGCTATAAATGATGTAATGGCAATAAGCATAAGTGCACACTATCGAATCAAGTACTAAAAGTGGACACAAATCAATGTATCGAGTGTCGAATCTCCGAAAGACTAGTGATACAATCAGAATTGCTTAATAACAATATATTAAGAAGTGTGTAGGTGTTGTGATAACAATGTTATAACAAAGAAATTGTAAACTAGATAGAGATGACAGAGATTGTAATAATCATTAATGGAGCATTGGATTGATGGAAACAAAGAATAAAAATGTTAAACAATCACATAAGTTTTAACAATGCTACCGTAACCAATTTAATGTGTCAAACATCAATCAAGCAAATTATCATTTTCTCCAAATATTCACCACGACATACAAAGCATGTATACATCTCTATATACCTACTAACTATGCTTACCGATAATGCTACAACAATCAGGTAACACAGATCTCTCTATGCTACACGATGCTCACGTAACATTGATACACTATTTATATTGTAATTCGTTTCTCAACGCATTACTGACAGTTTTTATCTCTAAAAACAAACCCAAAAATTAAGTTCTTGTCACACCAATCAAGTTATTAAAACAAAACTAAATAAACATGCATTCCATAAAATATATATCATCAAAGATCATCCACGTTGAACATCATCATAAGTTTAAAACAATCAACTTAAACAAAGAGTTTTCTCCCTCTCAGTCTCAAAACAAATCGCTCACGAAGACACCCAATTGATCTCCAGTCACCGCTCTCACGATTGCAGTGCTCCACGTTCTATAGTTACTCTCCCCGATGGTAATTACGCTGCCATGGTTGCGGCGGAAGAAGTGTAAAATGAAGCTTCTTTTTTTTTTGGAATTAATGGAGGATGATGAAGGGTTGAAGAAGAGCATGAAAAGTGTGATACCAACTCGCTCTTAATATGTAAATTATGCAAAATATCTTAACATTAATCTAAATATGATTCTAAAAATATTAAAGTGCAAGCTTAACCTAAGTAAAAGGCTTTAAATGATGACTCTGTAGGAGAGTTATCACTTCCCATGAGGCATTTTCAGTGGGTTGTCGTCTTTTTCTCTCGCTAATATTTCTTATGGACGTTGTAGCTTATGTGGAGTTGCGGAGGAAACAATGATGCATGCACTAAGGGACTATCTAGAGGTGCAACCGATTTTCTCCATGGCCGAGCTTTCATTCTTTATAGTTGCAGGGGCTTTCACTTGTTATGGGGCATGGCTTGAATCACTCTTGGCTCTCTTGGATTCAGTGACATTTACTGCCCTCTTGATTCTCATCTCTCAGATTTGGTATAGGCGTAATATTCATGTGCATGTATCCCGTTTTACCATGTTGGCATCTCGTGACATCTTGCAAGGCTTTGCAGTTAGCTTTTGAACATGCTTCCAAGTTCACTGACGCCATCACGACTGCTTCTCTCACCACCATTCATTCTTCACACAGGTGCAAGCCTTCTTCGGGTGTGGTCAAAGTTAATGTTGATGGGGCATGTCCGCTTCATTCCGGAGTACCAGCGATGGGCGCTATTGTGTGAGATTCTGATGGCTTTGTGCTCGCTGGCAGGGCAATGTGCATTGAAGGACCTCGTGATGCTGGTTTTATAGAGGCCAAGGCAGTTTGCTTCGGGTTGTAGCTTGCAGTCGAGTTGGGTCATAAGCATAATATTCTCGGAGTGACTCGTCCAACGTGGTTAATCAGTTGCTGCATCATCACTCGAATTTATCTATACTCTAATTCCCATTGGCGGAAGCCAGAGACATCCTCGATTCTATCCCGGATATGGCATTCACTTGATTCGTCGCTCAGCTCATGGCGCGGCTCACACATTAGCTCAATTTGCTTCTTCCACATCCTCTATAGCGTCTTTTACTTATGATTATCCTTCGTGTTTAACTCATATCATTATAACTGACGCTATTTTCTGTTAATAACAATATATTTTTCTCCAAAAAAAATAAATAACATTAATAAATCTATTTTAATAAAATTTATCACTTTTAATAAAAAAATTAACTGAATCGTATAGTTAGACGTGTAGAAAAACCTCTACAATTGGAATTCTTCATATACTTGAAATTAAAAATTTTGAGTTACTGCGTAACTATTTCCAAGTATTTGCCGTGAAAGTGGCCATAGCGTCTGGAAATCGTGTACACAAGCATATGTTTTACTGCACGTACGCTAATTTGTTTGAACTTTCTTTCAAATCTTTTTTCCAGCGGCGGAAAATTCTATCCCAAACTAGTATAAATGAAGGGGTTTTCAACTCATAAATCATCTTAAACAATTCAGTTTTTTTATTATTATTTTCCCAAGGTGCTAAAACTAATCTATTATGAAGCTTGACTATGGCTGAAATTGCAGTATCATTTCTCCTTGAAAAACTCGCATCTTTTCTGCAAAATGAGGTGGAGCTTTTGCAAGGGATCCCCGAAGGTTTAGAGTACATCAAGGACGAGTTGCAGAGCTTGAAGGCAACCCTCCGAGTTGCAGACTCAGCGGGGGAGAGTAACCAAGAACTCAAGGTATGGGTTCAGCAACTGAGAGAGATTGCTTACGATACTGAAGATATCCTGGATGAATACAAGCTCGACCTTGTCAACGACTATGGTGACAAGATTGATGCTTTTCTACACAATATTTGTTGTTTCACGAAAAAACTTGAAAGCCCAGCATCGGATTGCTTCCAAGATAAATGTGATCAAATCCAGAATCAACAACGCATCTGCCAGGCGTCCGAATTTCGACAACTATGGGATGAACGAGCAAGCTCCATTTCCACTGTTAATCCATGGATGGATAGAAGAGGGGATGCCCTCCTTCTAGATAGTGTTGATTTAGTAGGTATCGAAAAGTTCAAAGAGCAACTCATCGATTGGTTGGTGGCTCGAAACCCCGGCCGCAAGGTGGTTTCGGTGGTCGGAATGGGCGGGGTCTGGGAAAACCACCTTGGCGAAGTAAGTTTATGATGATGCCAAAGTGAAGAAACATTTTGCCGTGCATGTTTGGATCACTATTTCACTTCCTTTCAAGATTGAAGACCTGCTAAGAAACATGGCACGCCAACTCTTTGACGTATCCAGGAAGCCGGTTCCTCGAGTTATCAATGACATGGATCCAATTCTCCTTAAAATGATCATTAAGGGCTTCCTTCAGCTGAGAAGATGCTTGTTTTGGATGATGTGTGGCGCATGAATGAATGGGAAATGCTCGATCACGCATTGGCTAACAACGGTCGTGGGAGTTGTGTTTTGCCCACGACGCGTAACTCCGGAGCTTCGACATCGTGTGGGGATTCTGAAGATAAGGTCTTCAATGTAGAGCCGTTATCTGTGGATGAGTCGTGGACACTTTTCTGCAGTGTTTCCGGAAGGACTCATGTCCTGCCGAATTGGAGAGACATTCTAGACTTATTTTGGAGAAGTGTGAGGGACTGCCACTTGCAATTGTGGCCATTAGTGGTGTTTTGGCGACGAAAAGGTGTATGGTTGTGGAATGGGAGATGGTTTACCGTGGCCTCAGTGCTGAAATGGAGGACAATAGCAGACTCATCAATTTCAAAGAAGTTCTTTTGCTGAGTTTCAATGATTTGCCATCCCACTTGAAATCTTGTTTCTTGTATTTGAGCCTCTTCCCTGGGAACCATCTGATCGAGAATATGAGGCTGATTCGATTGTGGATAGAGGAAGGGTTCGTTGAAGCCAAAGAAGGTAAGACACAAGAGGAAGTTGCAGAGGACTACCTTAGTGAACTCCTGAATAGAAGCTTGATACAAATAGCAGGGACCATGATAATGCCCTTATTATGGAGCTAGGAAAACTGGTGCAGCTTCGAAGACTAGGCATTACAAACTTGAGAAAAGAAGATGGGAACCTATTGTGCTCATCCATTGAAAAGCTGATCAATCTTCGAGCATTGTCGATCGTTTCATCGGTGAAGGACAAGTTCATTGATCTGCAATCACTTTCTTCTCAAGTACTTCAAAGGCTATACTTGTATGGGCGATTAGAGAATTTACCAGACTGGATACCTTGTCTTCAAAGCTTAGCAGTGATATATCTAAAATGGAGTAGGCTGCCAAATGATGCACTTCAATCCCTTCAAAACTTGCCCAATCTCGTACATCTTGAACTGGTGCAAGCCGTGGAAGGTGACACTTCACTTTTCGAGGCCGGCAGGTTCAAGGGGCTTAAACAACTGGGTATAGACAAATTTGAAGGACTGAAATGCATAGAGGTGGAAGGAGCAATCCCTTGTCTTGAAAAGCTTAGCATCCAACGCTGTAAATTGCTGGAAAGGGTGCCATTAGGGATTGAACATCTGACCAATTTGAAAGTTCTCAAATTTTTCGATATGCCGGAGGAATTGATTATGGCCCGTGGTCCTGATGCAAACGTTCCTGAAGTTTGTTATACTTACTGGAGAAATGGAGAATGGGAGGTCTACATTGAGAGTTCAAGCAAGAATGAGATGAGCAATTCCATTAACACTGATACGCTTCAAAGTCGTTTTAAATAATGCAATTTTTCACATAATGATATAAGATTATATGCAATTTGTCTGCCTTCGTCAACTGTTCATTGATTTAGTTAATTTTCTGGCTAAAGTATGTATGATGCAAAGGTACCATTTTCAAGATGAAGGGCCACAATTTCGGATAATATCGTTTTAGATCCGACATCTCACCCAATCTCCTCAATCCCCACTGAAAACTCGGTTTCTTTCTCCGAGAACAAACCATAACCGGGAAGGAGCTATGCCTTAGAAAAATTAATGATTATATATCTTTCACTCCACAGCAAGTCACTCTCCAAGATAAGTAGAAACCCTTCTCTTGAACATTCGTCCCAAGTCAACAATTTCAGATTCTCTCATCTGCTTAGTTATGTGGTCGAACAGCCTAAGTTTCGGTTCTTTTCTGGACAACCTGTTTGCAACATCAATGGTTAAACTGACCATATCCCTGCTGTTAGTCAACAATCGCAAAACTGTGGCAGACTGTACAGGGTTTGACACGAGTCTATTGAGTAATATCAGCACTTCCCGTATCAATAATGTCCTGCATAGAAGGGGTCCATAACATGAGAAGACATTGTTTAAGATAAATAAAGCATCAAAGTAGTACATCAAAGATTGACAGGCATAGTTTTCGGTATATAACAGAAAAGGGATTTCAGGCACTGAAGGCAAAGAGCTGACAGTGTGACTCAAAAGTTGGGGAATAACTGTGTAGACAGAGCACTGAATGAGGACAAAATGTCATGCTAGCCCAAGCATCAAAGAAAAATGAAATAAAAGGTATACACGCATCCAGAGCCATTGATTACCTTGCTCTTAGGGTTTCATTAGATTCAGTACTTACTGTGGCTTCCATGTCTATCTCAGATGCCAACAGTTGCATAATTAGTGTTAGAAAATTTACTTCTCTAGATAGCTTGTTATTCACTAGTATGTCAAAACCAGATTTTCCAGATGAGGCCACAAAAGCGAGTAAGGTGATGGCATTTTTGCGTAGATCCAAGGCCTGAAAGTTAATTGATTCAGAAATCATATTCCGTAACTAGTATCAGCTAAAACACAAGCGATAGTCTTCTAGGAAAATATTGGATAATCAACTAAACTTCACAACTTCTTGCAGTAACAATAATGCATTATCTAATAAAATAAATCAAGAATGAAGTTTATTTAACATAACCTACTTGTAAAGTGTTCCCAGAGAAAACTATACAGTCAGCCAACCCCTCAAGAATCATAGTGAATCCTTGGATAGCATCTGTGTTTCCCTTGTCATAAGCATCATCAGCATTTGTCTCCGTTGTACAACCAGAGCAGAATGTGACCACCAATTTAGGACCTTCATTCAACAAAGAACCATTAGGCATTGGCAACAGGCAGTGATAAAATATATTTCGGTTCATTTTTATTGAAAAATAACACTGTATTGGAGGGGGGTGGGGTCAAAAGATCATTCTATCCTGGCCATATAAACTTGAAGACCAGCAAAGAACGCATAAAGTCCAGGGAAAGAAAGGTTCAGGCGACTGCAGGAAGGAGATTGTGGTTCAAGCTGAGGTGCACCCCTCTTGTACCAAAAAATTGTTGATAGAATATTCTTATTGAAAGGGTCCAATAGTCTGTCTTCATATTAGTAACTAAATACTATAAGATTTTAAGTGTTGCCATCCCTAAAGCAACATGTGATTTAAAGCAGAATAAAACAAAGATGATAGATTAACTAACTACATAGTAGAAGAATATATTTCAAGCACATTTTCCTCATTTGCATTGAAAGGAAGATGAAACAAGACGTAGAAGGAATAAGCATTCACTTACAATTTAAAAGCAGGTAGAGAGCATGCACAGCCTCCTTTTGTACAAGAAGCCCAGCTTCCTTTTTCAGTAGTTGTGAAATACATTCAAAGACTTGACTGAGGCCAAACCTAGCACAAGTGAAATAGCTTTTAGAGCATAAAAGTTGCATATCATCCTGGAAGTTTGGAAAAAGGAGCAGATCATACAAGCTTACTTTTCTCTTTCTGTGTAAGCATCACTTCTCATCAGAATCACATTCATAATCGAGACTGCTTCCAATCTTACACATTCTTCAACACTCTTCATTAAAATGAGACGCATAAATTCAAAGAGATAAATCCAGTTTATATGGGAAAACAATGGTGCAGAGCTAGTATCATAACATCCTTTCTTGCACGGATATTTTGCTTCAGAAGATCCTACTCCAGTTGGCACATAACTTGAAAAGGCCCCATCCATGCCAATGCAAGCCCGATCTCTAGTTTCATATCCAAATATATCATCAGTGCCGCTTCCAGAGTGAAGATGCTCAACCAAAAAGTTTTCCCTGAGTAGAGTGCACTGGAAAGATCAAATCAAAGTTCATAAGCACGCAATGTAAATCAAAACTTAGGTCTCCTTTACTAAAGCATAGAGCATTTACAGCAAAATGAAAAGCATATAGAAAAATGGAAGAGAAAAATACAAATTACTGCTTCATAGACAATAACAGCAGAAACTATTTGAGGGAAGGTGTAGGAAAAATAATTTTGAGCACTGATATTTCCTTTTTCCATTATATATATAAGATAATAATAAGGGAATAACTGCATAAACCCAACCTGATTTTCTGACATATAGAAAGAGATGAATTATACTGGCCCAAAACAAATCAAGGTTTAACGAAAGCACATAAAAACCTCATGTTACAAAGAAAACAAGAAGAAACAACATACAATACCTTCCTCTGGATTCCCTTTCGAAAGTCACAAGATGCTTCAACAGGACATGTAGTATATGCAGTGATCTATACACAATAACTACCTGCATCAAAAAGGATGATCCTCAGGAGTTCCCAATAAAATCAGTAAAACTTCATAATTTGAAGTTTGAACAAAAAGAACACATCCACGCACAAATCCTAGATAATTTTACAAGGCATGATCAACCAACCTTTCTTCTTTGTCTTTCAGCGGTTTCAAAAATGTGAAATGTTGTGATACAGGGCTATCCAACCAGTCCTGCCTACTATAGAACTCACCAAATAGCTAATAAAGCCAAGGGTGATATTAGGTTTTCATGTTACCTAAGCAGCTAAGTACATAAGAGTACTCATCTAAAAAAACATTTGATACCAAAAATAGGAAACATAATTTATTCCTCATAAGCTCCACAATTAGCTCTTGATTGATATAGAGGCTCCGATCAATTACAATGTCTAAGGCCCAGGAAACGAGCATAACTGCCATCTAATAAATGGCGTTGAAATTACTAGAATATCTTTCCGAGATTACAATTTCTGTGTACGAGATTATTGTGAGGTGGATTCCGAGGTGCTGTAATTGCGAGGCGGATAAGCTAGCAAAGGAGGGGATTGGGTGATGGTAATTGTTGTTTCAGAGAGTTGGGGCGTTCAGCAGTTAGGATTGTTAGCAGTGTGTTTAAGTTTTATGTATCTTGTAGGACTGTTTTTAAGTCTTATGTAATTCATTTGCAATCAATAAAGTCTGGCACTCTTTTCCTCATTCCGCTAGTTGGTTCTTACCCTATGGTAAGGGACCTCTAAGAGGAGGTTTTTAATGAGGCCATCTATTCCTATCAAAAAAAAATTATATCTTAGGCGAAAAGGGTTAACAACACATTGCTTCAACAACTAAAATTACAGATTCCTTAGCCATACTCTACCAAATTGGCAAATTCAAATAAGAATTTTGCAACTCACATTTTCAGCAGTACAGAGATCAAACAAAGATTCAAATAGAGCCTGTAGCTGCAACATTCCACTACTAATCTGCAACATGGAAATAAATCAACAGGTAAATAAATCGTTAACACTTAAATTTACAACATTCAAATTTATCAATGCCTGTTTTCCTAGATTGCTAAGTCAGCCTGTTCATTTGCATCTTATGGCGTTTTCAAAAATCCATTCTTTTTAAATCTCATACACTATACTTATGGCGAGTAAGGGATTAGATCTGTTGGGAAAAGTTGTGTTACGGTGATCATCTTCAATATTCCAGAGTTTCTTCATCATCAAGGTCTTTGGCAATTTTTGATAGATATGGTGAGGTGGTTGATTCTTTCATCCCTAACAAAAGAAGCAAGGGAGGAAGTGGTTTGGTTTTGTTTGTTTCACCAGATTGGAGGACGCGAGGAAGGCTATCAACTGTGTTGATAGATCTAGGATTCAAGGGAATATAGTTAGAGTTTTCATGGAGATTTCAACCTCGTGAAGCTTTCTGGAGAAAGAAGTTTGCTGGCCCAAAACTAGCTGAGGCCAAGAGTAATGTGGTGTTTCAGAAGCATTCAGAGGCTCCCTTTGTCGGTGTTGTTGACGAGGACAAGCTCTTCACTCTCAGAAATAGCTTGGTAGGTCGGTGTAAAAAAATTTCAAAAATGAAAGAGTTGGCTGTTCTTATGCAAAAGGAAGGCATTTTAGGTCCGAAAATTATGAGGTTAAGTGGTTTAACAATTCTAATCATTTTCGAAGATGAAGAGAGTAGGGATTATGCTCTTAATAATCAGATTGGGGTGTTAAAAAACTGCTTTGACAAAGTGGAAGTGTGGTCGGAAAACTTCCAGTGCAGCAGCCGTCGGGCATGGCTTTCATGCAGAGGGATCCCACCGTTGGTGTGGTGTCATTCCACCTTCAAAAACATTGCAGACAAATGGGGAGACTTATCTCCATTGAGGAGGGGACATTATATCCAGGCTCGTTTGATAGGGCAATGTTTCAGATATCTACAAACTGTAAGCTCGAGTGGAAGAATACATCGATTTGAAAGTCGGGGAACGGATCTATACAGTTTATGTTTCTGAGTTTGAACCTTGTTTCAGCCCAGAATTTGTCTGGGTAGATTCGTCCTTGATGGATAAGGGAGTTTCCTACCCGTTTTCCACGGTGGGGGAACTTGTTAGTGGCTCGCCAATTTTGCCTTCCGCGATGGAGAAGTGTGTTGAGGAAGCAGGAAGAAGCGTGGACCCATCGATGGAGAAGATTTCCGAGGAAGAAGACAGTCTATTATGTTGTTTGGGGAACATATTTAGAGGTAGCAACCTGTCGGGTTAAGATGAGGAGAATAGGGACATAGGGGAGGAATTAATTATGGGTTGAGGAATGTGGTTGCTGGTCAGGGGATGGTACAAACAAATTTTGAGGAAGTGGAGGAACACGAGGAAGTGCTGGACCATGCGGAGAGAGAGGCAAAAAATGACATTAGGAAAAGTGGTGAGCCTGCACGTCCTTTTGAGGGTACTACGGATTATTTTATAGATTTCCCCATGTTGGATGGTCGGGTAGAGTAAAAGGTGGTGGAGGATGTGACTAATGTGGGCCTCACAAATTATTGTGCATTCAAAAATTCAAAGGGTGAGCCAAGGCAAAACCGGAGAGCAAAGAAGGGGAAAAACAAAAATTTCAGCTCTCTCCAAGACTGTCGTAGCAAGAAATACCAGAGTAAGGTGCATCGAGACGAAGAATGGCCCGAACTTGAAGGTAGATCCTTATATGATTCTGATTTTCGAGCAAAGTGGCAGACTCAAAAGAAGGAAGCGGCAGATTCCTTAAAGATCGAGAATGATTTGGGTTTAGAGTCTGATGGCTCACAAGTGGTTTTTGTTACTGAACACTATAGCACTGGAAGTATTGACAGAATCATTAAGTTTTGAATAGTTTTTAGGGGACTTGATTATGTTTTCTGTTTATGGAGTTGGACGTTCGGAGGGTCTTCGATGTGAAGTTGAGCAGTTAGTGGCAGAAGGGCGATTACAGTTTGTTTGAAGTTTGTTTTGTTCAACTGTTATAGCGTGGAAGCTCATGGCTTTGGTGTTTGATTTTGGCTACTATGGATTGTGTCAGTTGGTTTATTTGGCCTTTATTATTGTTATATTGTGTTGCAGCATGATAGAGTTAGTGCTGCATTAGTGGAGTGCTAGTGCAGAAGCAGCAGGGTATGAGCTGGAAAAGCAAAGTATGGGCAGCGTGGGGTACTGTGCAGCAGCATGGACAAATTGGTTATTACAGTCTCTGTTGTCAAGACAAGTTTAAAGTGGCAGACAGGCGGTTATGTGCTTGCTGTTTTGTATTCTTTTCATGTGGAAGCTTTTGGCTTTTGTGTTAGAACTTGGCTGCTATCTTCTATTATCGTTGTTTCTTTTGTGGTGTCTTTCGGGCCTCGTTTAGGATTTTAGTATAGTCAGTCTGTTTTTTAGGCTAATGTTGCTAAGTTGGATTAGGCTGAGTCTTTGTTGTTGTTTAGGGTTGTTTGCGGCTGCTTTTGGTGTTATGTTTATGTTGGGGGTGGCTCTCAGGTTGTATCTTGTATTTTCTAATGATTAATGAAATCTTAAGGCACTCTTTTCCTCCTCCCGCTGATTAAGAAGCTTATCTATAAGTTCCTTTAATCATGAAGGAGGTTTTTAACGAGGCCTTCAATTCCTATCAAAAAAAAAATCATTAACACTTAAAACATCATTAGCTCCAAATTGAGATCAATATTGCAAATAAGGTCATGATCTCATGTCTAATTTTCTATAGATCTGATCTTCAAGAAGTTAAATAATTCATTCTATCATAAGATTGAAACTTCGGGATTGACTATTGGCACAAAAGATTGTATTCGTTTGGAACTGGACGCCATATTGTTTCAAGTAGCAGAAATAGCCATCTTCTAACCTAGAGTAAGGCTGGCTGTTCTATTTGACTCTCCCCAGTCCCAAGGCATCACAATGCAAAAGCCTAATGAACTAGAGTGCACCTTTATCACACTGAAACTTTATTTTTGGTTATAGATATAGGGGGAAGAGGCTAGAATAGTTAGGAGTTAACTTATCATGATAAATCTCCCATAAGAAATCCTGTTCTTAATTGCAGATGTCTCGTACTTTTTTTCCCTTAAGATGGTAGATGTACTAACCATATCATGTTTGCAAAGCTATAAGAAACTATAGGAATAAGCCAGACCTTTGTCAAAGCAGAGTAGAAACGAGATACTTTTGCAGCTTCGGCACTAAGAAAAGGATGAATGGAACTCTTCAAAGTCATATTGACAGAGCTCTTAACTGCATGTAGTTCCAGAGTTTTGGAAGGTGACCTCATATTTATGAACCCAAAAAGGACATCAATATCATCCGAACAAACCGCAAATAACTTGGATATCAGATTTCTTCCAAACTTTTGCTCACTTGGCAAGCCCCAGATGTCCTGCAACTTCTCGCAAAGATTAAGAGAAGCATTTAAATCTGTATGAACTCCAATTGCCTGACAGCTTGACTTGACTACCAAAGACAAGGAACAGAGGCATTAAAAGAATATCATAAGAACAAAATTAGAGAGACAGGTTAAACAAATCCAAATATGTCTCAAATTAACTACTCACCTGTATGGAGGCTAATTGGATCGTTAAAAGATTTTCTATTTGGAAATTTTTGTACAACTCGATCATGAGCGTCAACAGGGATTCCATGTTCTCTGTCAGTGATGCTGATGGCTTTCAAATTAGCAATTTTGGCCTCATTGTTTGAATTGGAGACCGTAAGCTGATCCTCCTTGTTTCTTTCCTTCTTAAGTTCTGAACACTCATGTTCCTAAATGGATAGGAAAAAACACTTATAGCATGCAAAAGTTGTTCGCCTAAATGATCTCCCTAAGGTCCAATTCCAAACAAGTTCAAAAAATCCACCAATACTTTAGTTCATCATTCCAGAAAAAATTGGTTTTAGATTTATTTCATTTGGCATACAAATTAATATTATAGTAATTCAAAATAAAATACACATACCAGGTCCGCAAGCTGCTTTGAAACACGCCCCAACTCCTTCTGCAATAATTAAATATAATTCAATCAAAATCCTCTCATATAGGTAATATTCCAATACTACCTTATTTATCTTCCAAATGCCCAAGTCAAAATCAGTAAAAGCATCAATGTCACTGAACATTTTAAGAATCTTTAACAACTGACTTCTTTTTCGCCCATAAGAGTAAATACTGTAACAAGAAGTCAGATTAAGCAAGCCTGAAACACTAACCTTTAGGAGCTCGATTTCGAGATCCTTAGTGTTAGCAGAACCACCATCGCGCCGCGCCGTAGTCGAAGGAGTAGCGCATTTAGCAACAAAGCCACTGGAATTCGAGGCGCCAACCAATTCGGTGGGTCTCTGAGAGAGCTCTCTCGGAGGCGAGTAACTGATGGGATCAGTTCGAGATGGAGGCGGCGGAAAATGTAGGGGTTGATTACGTGAAGATGACGAAGGCGGCGGCTCCAGCGGTAAAAAGGAAGAGGAAGGAGTGCGATTGTCTTGGTTAACATAAGAACAAGAAAGAGCGAACTCTTCAACTTGAATAAGTTCCTCCAAGAAACTGGCATCCCATTCTTCTAAATTTTCTTCGTTCATAATTTTATTTTATCCTCTTTGTTTCTTGGCCCTTGTTCTGCTTGAATGAGCGAATGTCTCGACCGTGCTCCTCAGTTTCCTTTGTTTTTTTTTTTGTCTTTTTACTTTTTTTTTAGTTGTCGGAGTTGGGCCAACTGTTGAACCAGGTGCTCCAGACTTGGGCTCTTTTAGCAGTCTGGAAGTACAAAAACATCGATAAACTTAGTCGCTAAACCACTAATATAAAATAAAATAAGGGGCTGTTTGTTTATTTTAAAATAATTAAATACTGACTGATTCAGAGATTCTGTATGAATTAGTTCTGAATGTGACATGTTGTTTGATAATGGCTCTGAATCATTCAGAATGTACTTCTGTGATGAATCATTCAGCATTGTTTTGATGAATCAATCAACACTGAATCATTCAGATATGCGAAACAAACGCGCTGAATGCTGAACCGTTCAATATTCACCGCTGAATGGTTCTATTAAGAGGCAAACAAGCAGCCCCTAAACTACGTATTTAAGTCATCCAATTATTATTTTTGAATCGTTTTAGTCACCTAATTATTATTATTTTCAAAATTATACTTAACTTTTCATTTTGGTTACCACTTACCCGCTGCTAAATTTTTAATGGCGATGTTGGCGTGTCACTATAAGATAATATCATATCATCATTGAAAGGAATAAAAATTATCAAGTTAGTAGATCTATTTATTTTTTAATGGAATGAGACCAAAACGTAATGTTAGGTATAATTTTGAAGAAAAAAATAATTGGATGACTAAAATGAAACCAAAGTGATAATTGAATGATTAAATACGTAGTTTATCCTATGAAATAATAGTAATTAATTATAACATATTACATTTAAAACAATAGTAATTAACTATAACATATTATATCTAAATTTTATTTATAAATTTCACCCTTTATATTATGAAATTAAGAATTAATATTTTTATTTGAATTAATCAAAATTTAGAGAATATAACTTTGTCACTAAACCACTAATAAGTTAAATATTTTATACGTTGATTTAATAGGAGCAATCTCTGTTATCTGGTGACGCATTCTTGAACTCTTTCCAGGTAAGAAATTATGTATCTGCCAACGTAATTGGTTTGTTCATAACTTTCACTTCAATTAATCTGACTGTATGATCTGATTTCTGGGCAGCATTAATAGCAAAAGAAACGAAAAGCTTGTAAAGCATCATGGGTTCGGGTAGTAACCAAAATCAAAGCGACGGTTCCAGAAAAAATATTGAGGGTTTGTACGACGAGTTTCTGAAGATTGTTGCTCCTGAAGATGAAGGAGCAGCTTTCCCACTCGAAAAGTGTCAGTCCTTGTGTTTGAAGTCTTCCCCACTCGATGGCCTGGAAAACTGTAAGTCGAAATGTTGGAAGTCTTCTCGTGATTTAAAATCTGTGAAGTCCTCTGTTGGAGGCGCGCGGGGGCGTAGAAGGTGAGGGCACGCCTCGTGAATTCACAGAAGAAGAAAAACGAAGATTCTTAAACAGGATTTACGAGCCGGTACTGATCCAGGAGATGATTTACGGTTTCGACAGCGGCGAGATGACATTGAAAATGTGGCTCCGAGATTCGTTGAAGCTGCTGGGGGTTGTCGGGATGCTCGGTGTTGGGAAAACAGCGCTTTGTCGCTTAATTCTGGACGCAGTAGAAGTGAAGCAGCGCTATTTCCCGAGGTTCCTGATAACCATGTCCGAGTCCAGGGAGCCCAGATCGATGGAAGAGGTTGTCAAAAGAATGCTGGAGCATCTCGGAGTTGAAGACTAAACCAACATCAACTCCACTTCCAAAGACAATGAAGTGAATAAACTTCCAGGCTTGCTCTATGCTCTTCATCTACGACCCGAAGGTAAGAAGTTCCTGATTGTTCTTGATGATATAAAACAGGAAGACGAGTACTACGAAAAGCTAGCATCTTGCCTGAGGGACGGCCATGGATTCCCGAAACCGTACGGAGGAGCAGCGATTTTGAACGGTAGACATGAGGAACCGATAAAGAAGATAGTCGAAGAACGAAACGTGCATCGACTCCAGCTCCTTTCGGGCCACTAACATTCCTGGGATATATACCAGACCTTGGCTTTGGGTGACGATAGACGACACCCTCGAATCAGAGATGCTTCAGAGGAAGTACAAAAGGAACTGATGAAGAAATGCTGTGGTCTTCCTTTAGCAGCGCTTATTATGGGTAAATTGAAGTATCAACAGAGGACCGAATCCAAAACTCCAGAAAAAGTTACCAGTGATACAGCCAATACACCAAAAAGTTGCCGAACTGTCTAAACCAATAGAAAAACCAAATGTCCACCCTTAGAATCTATTTTTATTTGCAGCCATTAACAACATTAGTATGGTAAAAACTCCCACAATGCAAGTGAAAAAATATTTTATATAAAAAAATAACAAAAGTTTATTAATAACTAATCAGTGCTTAATAGATAAAACCAACCATCATCGACAAAGATGTAGTGGTTGAGAAACATGGGAGAAATGTAATTGGAAAGAGAAAAAACTACAAGAAAATAATAAATGAAGCAAGCTAGTTCACCACACCACCATTATTTCTTGCTAAACAGACAACAGGTGACGAGATTGTTGAGTTTTATTTACTTGCCCACGTTCAACAACCAAAAGAAAGTGACCAGCTGTCCACCTTTGCTTACCTCCGCAGCATGTGTATTTGCTCCGCAATGACTCGCCGCATACGACACTAATTCCACCCACACTCTGCTCATTATCTTCCATTTATCCTCGCCGACCATCGTCTGCAGCTCTTTTGCCAGTATACTTGCATTGAACAACACCGATTTACTTCGGTCTCCCTTCACTTCCTTGGGTCCGACATCCGTATTTGCCGACATTATCTGTTCGCAAGCCTCCTTGTCTTTATTTGGACCTAAACTCCGACTCTTGAAGAATCTTTTGGCCTCCTCACATGTGTCTCGGAATCTTATTTTCACGATACCGGCCACGGCAGACATCATGGTTGGCTGAAATACTAGAAGATACAGCATGTAATCCAATAGAGTTTTGCTTAACTGTAGACGTGTTACCCTCACGCCAATAGGTTCCTTTTCAGTGTGGTAGCATAGATCGGTGGCAATGTGCCACAGGAGAATGCTCTCATCATATGGAACATCAGTCACGTACTTGAGTAAGTTGTTATAATCATGGTCCGAGTCCGTCAAGGCCCAATCGCCTCGGGCCGACGATATCCTCTTTGCTGTTTCCGGAGTATCCGCAAAATCAGATTTATTTTTTAGCTCCTCGAAGATGAATTCCCATAGATCCTTAGTGAATGATGTCGTAACCGTCTTTCGGTTGGGCCCCGAATTGGACTTCGACTTGAAATAATTGGTTGGGAGTCGTCACTGACCACTTTAAAACAAATTTAGGTGGGTCGGACACCATCTTACTAATCTGCGTTTTTACGGGAAATGTGTCGGGTTTGGGAGTCGGTTACGGTCAAGGAAGGATTAGCACCCTTGAACCGCCATTTCGGTACCAATTAATTTGCCGGTTGTCTTAAATTAAGAAAATTGTAATTTAAAATTAAAAGGTAAAAATACAATAACAATTACTTACCTTAGATAGTTTTAAAGGTGTGGCCTTTTATTTCCTTTTCGAATAGTTTACAATAGCTTTGCCTTTGTATTTTCCGTGCTTTCCTCTGTATTTTGTATATAAATCGTGTATTACAAATGGGGAGGATTACATGTATTTATAGTGAAAAAAAACTAACTATTTTTAGAATCCTATTAACAATAGAATCCTAATGAAACTAGAATCCTTGCTCGGTTGTTGCACGTTTATTGGTGTGGTTGTTGCTTTAAAAGATATGTTAGTAGAAGAGTCCTCCTAGGAGAGGAACTCTTGCTAGTTCTATCTTTTAAGAAAATAGGTGTCTACAGCTGCCCCTCTTTGTCCTTTTTAGTGGAACGAAAAATAGGACAAAGATAAAAAGACACAAATTTTCGTTTAGTGGAGTTGAAGAATAACTCTCTGTCGAATTGAATTGCGGATGGCTCATCCGTCGCGAAGTCGAGTCCATCTTGAAATGATTTGAATCAGAATATGGCTTCTTGTTGTAGTCCACTTTGGTCTTCTTCTCGGTTTAAAGACTTTGGCTAAAAATTCGACTGGAAAGTAATCTCTTGACTCCATAATGTGGTTGATATGCCCTCGAGCTGAATGGAAACCGAACTCGAAAAGTCTTCGCTGACAGATAGCTTTTCTCGACTTAAGCTATGCTGACGGAAAAAATGCTTCTTGCAACTAAGGCACGACTAACCCAGACCTTCTTCTCGGCTTGAAAAACCTCGATTGCAGCCGGACAATAGTGTGATTGAGGTGTCATCGAGCTGAATGGAATCCAACCCGACAATTTTATTGACAGATAGCCCTTCTTGCCTTGAGTTATGCTGTAAATGATGTGCCTTAGAGCTGAGCATAGTCGAACTCGAAGGTCTTTTGGTGACAGATAACCCTTATAGCCTTGAGTTATGCTGTAAAGATGTGCCTCGAAGCTGAGTGTAATTGAACTCGAGGGTTTGGTGTTTCAAGAGAAACATTTTCAAAGGTTTTTTGTGTGTGTGTTTCAAGAGAAACAATTTCTAGGGTTTTTTTTTGTGTTTCAAGAGAAACTGTCTCAAGAGGGACAAAATTTGTTTCAAAAGAAACTGTCTCAAGAGAGACAAAACTTAGTTCTAAAAGAAACTGTCTCAAGGGAGACGAAATTTGTTTCAAGGAAAAGATATTCAAAGATTTTGTTTCAAGGAAAACTATCTCAAGAGAGACAAAATTTGTTTCAAGGGAAACCGTCTCAAGAGAGACAAGATTTTGTTTCAAGGGAAACTGTCTCAAAACTAGTTTAAGGGGAACTGATTTAAATATTTTGTGTTTCAAGGGAAACGTTTTCAAGGTTTATGTTTCAAGAGAAACTATCTCAAGGGAGACAAAATTTTGTTTCAAGGGAAACTATCTCAAGAGAGACAAAATTAATTTCAAAGGAAATATTTTCAATGTTTATGTTTCAAGAGAAACTGTCTCAAGGGAGACAAAATTTTGTTTCAAGGGAAACTACCCCAAGCGAGATAAAATTCATTTCAAGGGAAATGTTTTCAATGTTTATGTTTCAAGGGAGACAAAATTTCGTTTCAAGGGAAACTATCTCAATTGAGATAAAATTCATTTCAAGGGAAATGTTTTCAATGTTTATGTTTCAAGAGAAACTGTCTCAAGGGAGATAAAATTTAGTTCCAAAAGAAAATGTCTCAAGGGAGACGAAATTAGTTTCAATGAAAACAGATTCAAATATTTTGTTTCAAGGGAAACTTGGAAACTGTCTCAAGAAAGACAATGGTGAGCACGATTCCCTTCGCCGTGAAGTTGAAACTGTGGATGACCCCTTCGTTGTGAAGTTGAGCCTTGGAATTAGATATCCTTCGTCGTGAAGTTGAATTCCAAGTAAGTTGTATTGTTCCGAGTCCAATATCCTCCGCCGTGAAGTTAAAATTGGCTCTGGAACTAAGAAATTGTTTGTTGACAGCCAGCCGCCCCTTCGCTGTGAAGTTGAGCTTGTGCTGTCTCGAGTCCAATATCCTTCGTTGTGAAGTTGAAATTGGCTCCGAAATTGGGAAATTATTTGTTGACAACCAGCCGTCCCTTCGTTTTGAAGTTGAACTTGTGTTGTCTCGAGTCCAATATCATTCGCTGTGAAGTTGAAATTGGGAAATTGTTTATTGACAACCAGTCGTCCCTTCGTTGTGGAGTTGAACTTATGTTGTCTCGAGTGGCACGATATCCTCCGTCGTGGAGTTAAAATCGCAGGTGGACCTTTCGTCGTGAAGTTGAGTCTTGACTTGGATATCATTCTTTGTGAAGTTGAAATCCAAGTATTGTATGTTGCGGGTGGACACGATTCCCTTCACCGTGAAGTCGAAACCATGGATGACCCTTTATTGTGAAGTTTGGCTTCGAGCTAGATATCTTTCGTCGTGAAGTTGAAATCTACCCTCGAGTGATTTGTGTCGCTTTGAGTTCAATATCCTTCGCCGTGAAGTTGAAATTGACTCTGACTGAAACTGGAAAGTTGTTTTGTTGTCAGACAGTTGCCCCTTCACTGTGAGGTAGAGCAACCACCATGTGCTTTTGAATCGAGTATCATTCATCTTGAAGTTGAAACTTGACTTTAAAAGCTGCAAAAACTTATGTATACAAAAAATGATAAAGCGATGCTCTTAAGTATGTCTAAGATGCATGTAACATGAATTAGTATTGTTTTATCCCCTGGATGGAGTCTCGTGCTTTGTGTGCTTGTTCCTGCATATGGAGGAAATGCCTTCAAAAGGTCTGATAATTTGCATCAGGATGTTGAATTCCCAAAGATGCCCCAATATTCGATGTTGAATCTCAAAAAATGCCCCAACATTTGATGTTAAGTCTAAAAAAATGCCCCAATATTTGATGTTGAATCTTCAAAGATGCCCTCATTGTTCCTGATTTCTTGCTTCAGTATTGATTCTAAGCATGAGTTTTGCGTTTGAGAGCCACATGTCATTTACCAAGATCCACTCTAGAGAGATTGTCTTGTTTTGAAAAAAAATGTTTTTCTTTCTTTTTTATTTTCAAAGTTCTGAAAATATAAAAAAAGAGTCAAAAAATGTTTAACCAAAAGTTTTGAAAATATTGCCACTTTCACGGTTTTACAATTGAGACAAATCATAAAACTAGAGTTCATTGGATATCAAATAATTAATTACATTGTTAATCATTCAATAAATTATAGTCGTTTGACACGTGCCAAGATCAAATCTATTTTTGGGAAATGGTTAAGTAAGGAATGGAGAAAAATGTCTCAGGTTATTGTGTTTGGTCAAAGGTTTGGCATTTTTGTTTATTTGATGCTCAAAGGTTTGATGGGGCATCTTGCATGCTCCTCTATTGGAAGTGTTCTCCGATTCCCAACTTTCATGGTCAAGCTCGGATTGTGCGATGCCTTATCAAGGAATTCGTGCGATCGCCTCAGCTGCCCAATTTTTGTATTCGAGCCGCCTTTTCAAGTTTTCAACTTGAATCCTCCTTTGGTTTCAAGACGTCATTCGTAATTTACGTCTTAAACCCCCTTTTGTTATTTTTCTCTATCATGCATTAATTACATATTTTTGCAAATAAAGATTAATCTGATGGGCGGGATGAAATCTGAAGATAGTCACTTCTGTTTAGAAATCCATGTATGATTAGAATGGACTTTTAAGGCACGTAACGTTGGTCATGGTTCATGGTTATGAAAGAAAGGGATAAAAGGCCCAAACAAGTATTTAAGGGT